ATGCTATGCCTTGTTAAAAATCATGGCAATATAAATTGATTCCAGGATAACAAACCCCTGTCAATTTAATTACTGCAAACTGTACTTGCTGATAGAGACAATAAATAAGAGAAGATGTTGCTTAGAAGCAAGCGTTTCTACAAAATACTCTAAGGTGTAAATCTTGAGGGTCAGATTCTCAGTTTCATGTATGTCAACACAAAGCAATGGAGGACTCTTCCCTTTGTGTCAGGCAGTGTCCCGGCTTTAAGATTTCTCACCTGAATTCCTTACACACCTACAGGGCTGATACAAATGACATAGACAAGCCACCCTTCCACCAGGAAGGAAGAAAACAGATTTATGCATAACCCAGCGGAAGCAAAGGTTTTTTGATACAGTGATTTATATTTAAATAGTCTACAATACATGTATTTATTGGTTTCTACTTTTTGTGCCTTATAAACCAGAAATTCAGAAAAAGGTAAAGATAAATCAAAAGCATGTTCAAACCTCATGCCCACACCACCTTGTTCAACCTATGCTTCAGGTCTAAGAGGTAAGACAACCTCTCAAAAGCAATCACCAAATTTGAAAACCTATGGCCATAAAAAATTGACCCCAGTGACACACATGGTAGTGTTACGGCAAATCTTTTGTCCCACAGGGAGGACCCTGAAGTTTTTCGATAGCAAAGGGTATTTCCTTTTTAACCACTATGCTGTCTTTGGTTTACTATGTGGCTGCTGAGACGGAAAACCAGCACTCTTTGCATTTTGCTTTCAGCTCTTGCAATGTGCTTTTCCATACCTTTAAAGTGCAACAAGCTGAACCTACATTTAGGAACTTTCCAGAGATACAAACAGGTCTCACTGGGCAGTTTTATGTATTTATTTTGTCTTCCTTTACAGAGAAAGATAACAGGCAAGGGAGTTAAAATGAAGCTCAGAGAAGCCAAAAAGGAAACCACAGGTTTTATTTTTCTTTTCAGAGCTTATGTTTAGTGAGGCCTCATCCCCCAGCACGACAGATATTGTGCTGTGCTCTTCTAGAGTTTTTAAATACGTCAGGTCACCCAGACAGATTCTGTGAACTCAATCGTGATGTTAACCCAAAGATGCAGATAAACACTCTTTTAATTCTTCTCTTCCAACTTTCTCAGACCTCAGGAGAGCTACCTCGAGATAAGACATTCCAGTTTCAGTGGCAAAGGTCGTGTTCGACAACATGGTTTGGGAAATACGTCACACTGTTTATCCTCCAGTGGTAGTTTTGCTCTCTTTGGTTCATAGAGCACAAAGGAGAAAATTCTTTTCTAAGCTTTCCTTCTGTTTATCCCTCCCCCTACAGCTTCCTAATTTCACCCAAAGAGAAAGGTCATCAAGGCAAGACTGACAACTCAGTGTAGTTACATGAGCTCCTGTGCAGTGCTCTGTGCTCAAAGGCAGTTTTAGTTCTTTTACTTCCCTCAGTCATAACTTTGCTCTTGAAGGCCCTGCAACTTGAACAGGAGCATCCTGGAGGCACTTCAGCTTATGTTGCCTATAAGCAGCCACAAAGGATTAACATTTCAGTTTGTGCTTTGTAACTGGGTCAGGCTATGCTAGCAATGTAAAGTTTGAGTGGTGTAAGGCCCGTCTTCCAAGTCATGATAAAACTACCACTGACTTGAACAGCACAGGAATATCACTCCTTCCCCCAGTTCTGGGGGGCTGCCTCTTTCCCAACAGATTGCTGGTTTGTAATTAGACCAGGTTATAGCACTGGTGAGAAGTGTCTCTACTGTATTGAAGAACCCAAGTCTGATAATTAACCCAAGGACTAATTTCTGATCCCTTAAGTGGAGGATATCTTACAACAGAGCTTCAAATACAGAATCTGCTATTATAACATTTCTAAGAGCTTTATCCCAGAAATGGAGGTGAATGGAGGTGGTTCTTTCCTTCAGAAAGGGACTGCACAGAGAAGATAGAAGATTTTCCTTCCCCACTTTTTTTTTTTTAATTTTTTTTTTTTTTAGTCTTTGATGTCTTAAACGCAAAGAAATTGAGGTATTTGCCTCTCTGGGCAAATTGTGAGGTATGAGTCATGTTGGTGACCCTTCTGTCCCAATGTATATCCTCTATCATGTCACTGTACGCCAGAGGACTGGTGTGGGTGCTGTTATCACATGCTAGGGTATTAAATGTATGGCTCCTAGGCATACTTTCAGCAAAGGGTTTACTATGGACAGAAAAAAAGACTTGATGCAAAGAAGGAAAAACAATCACCCAAACAATGAAGCAAGGGGTGCAACTTCATTTCAGGCACTTTTATTCAGGAGGTCTTTGGCAGGGACTGTTTTATTCTCCTTGCTAGAGCGCAGCCAGCTGAGCAAGCAAGGAATGTGTGCAACTTGCAATAGGTCAGTAATTTCACAGAGGTCAATGAAATTGCTCACATGCTGAAGCCAATAAAGCTAACCCAAGCTCAGGTAAAACTTGTGCTTACTGAGCTCTGCTGAATCAGCTCCTACCTCCTGAACAAAGTCAAAGGATTGCTGCAGCTTCCATTTCCTCTTTAAAACCCTTCTCTTCCCCACCATAAGGAAAGTGTCTTCTCCTAACAAACTGACAGAGTCTTCCCCTACACCACGACAAGCTAAAACATGAGCAATACCAGATGCACCCTGCATTAGTTACCAAATCTCTGCTGCTTTAATCCAGTCTAACAGGACAGACTGGTATATGTCAGCATGGGCCTTTGTCAACCTGTGACCTTCAGATGACATTACAGCTGCTGTCTTGAAGAACATGACCTACTCCTTAATTACATAACACAGCTGCACAAGGCTGTCAAGGACAGAAACAGGGAAACTTAGCACCACGTTCAATGCTTGGTCCGGGGTTTACATCACTAGACTGACCTTCTAGCCATGGGAGTCTACTCCAGTGTCACCGAGTTTGTTATGGAAAAGATATCCACGGTAGGCAGAAATAGGGATTAGATAATGTCCGCAACAAGATATTGTCCCTCAGTCTGGGAAATCCATGCACACAAGTCCACCATGTGTTCTTTGGACAGCTGAATCATTATCTCTCTTCCAACCCTATTCATATGTTGAGCTAAACTAAGTCAAGAAAATTCCATTATTATGCCATAAATGATTAAAATTTGCTTTTGTTTAACGTAACATTTGAGTTTGTGAAAAAACCTTTGCTCTGAAATCCAATTATTGACTAACACTGCTAAGCATGTAAATAGCTCATTCCCAGATTTTCTGACCTTTTCCTGTAACTTCCATTAGATTTTAAACCACAAATTTGGCAGAGCTACTGTCAAGAAAGGACTTTTCACCGTCCCCACCACACAACCATAGGTAAAGTATGCAGAAATAAAGACCCAGGGGCAAACTCCCTCTCACTTCATTATGGATTTCCATCAACAGCTTTGCAATGAGAATGGATTTGGCCTTTTACCCTAAAAGGGCATCCACTTTGTTAACACTTCTGGTTGCTGAAGAAAGCAGATTCGCAAAGAAACTGTTTCTTATAGCACAGATCCTGGCATATCACCTCCTATGAACTTTCTAAATCAGGATGTTATTCAGTTCCCAGCCCACAACTGAATTAATCTGAAGACAGATCCTGCCCATACCCAACACAGACTCTCTAAAGAAGAAACCACAAAAAAAGCTAGCAGATCTGTTAGCAAGGACATTGCTGAAGCCTGGTTTAGAACGGACAGTTTACCCCACATCTATGAAGGGGTGAATCCTGATAGCAAACCCTCCTGTGATTACGGTTTTCATGATGGTACTCTCTCATGTGGAGTTTCTGGTGTCTATTAAGACAGCTGGGTTCACAGTTCAATTATGAATTCTTTGATGTCTCATTATGCAGTTAAGCCCATGCTCGTTTTTCCCTGAGGCTCCTCTCCTCTCTCCAGACACTAATTTCCAAGAAACACCTAGGAATCTTAATATCGCTGCTCTTGTTGCCATTGTGCCACAATCAGCCAGCAGTTTCAAGAAGCATTCGGCCAGATGGAGGCTAGGGAGAAGGGAGACAAGGGACAAGCAGGCAGTCCTATCGCATAAGTATCTTCTTCTGAGAAAACTAGGTTAAACACTATTATACACTCCAGGAAACATATACTGCGATAGCAGGCGTGAAATACCATTTCTTGACCCAGTAGAGAGAATCTTACTCCTTGGTCCATTTTCATCACTGCCCTTAAGATTGTCCTGCTCTTTAAAAAAGTTTCAGACACAGAACTAACTAATACGGTGATGAAAAGCAAAGAAACATTTTAAGTGTGAGAAACTATATCATTTAATTTACTGTAAATCTATTTGTTCATATAAAAAGTCACCATCCAGGAAAATCTCAACTTCCTCACCCCCCTAAGAAGTCACTCCTGGCCCCCTCCCTTCCTTCTGCCTCATCTCGCTTCTCAACACAAGCTCATGCCTTTTTTTAATTAAGCAAAAAAAAAAAAAAAAAAAAAATCTTAAAACTTGCCTTTTGCCTGGAATTCCTCTTCTGTTTTTTTGTCACTGCTACTAAAAAAATAAATCTAACACTGAAGGCAAACACCAGTATCTGGTCTTAATGTTTTTGTATATTAGAATTTGGTTCCAGTGACCAAATATGACCATGATTCAACCACAAACTGCATATTCACTTTGTTGCCTACTCCAGATGAGAAGCTTCGCATCCAGAACTGCCAATGGAGCAACATGCAGCATTTAACAGAAGTCATGTTACTACCACAAACACTGGTCTGCTTGCAGACCTTTGTATTTCAAGGCCTGCAGTTCCAAAACGAGTCTTTACTCTCCAACCTTAAGGCATGAAATCTGAACCTCTACGATCTCTACTTTTAGATATTATGACCACATTTATTTGCACAGAAGGTCTGGCATTCTGGGCAAGAAGTTTTCGATGAATGTGCAAAATCAGAGGCTGCTTAAGAAGACTTCAGCGATACAGACAAAAAGTCAGATAAAGAAAACCGCCTCAGAAAAGTAACCAATTTACCTGGAGTATTAACAGCATCTGAATAATAGAAGGTGGAACTCTGGCTCTGGAACGCGACAATGCATCTTCCAATTTAATGTTGAGGGTAATTATATTCCTAAAGTGCAGAAGAGCCAGCTGCCGAACCGAGGGCTCCTTCCCCTTAGAAAGAGAAACAAGGCAAGACGGATTATGAGCAGTGTGAAAATGAGCTTCAAAATCCTCTGTCAAAATTCCTTTCTCCACTTGCGAGGGATTACAAGAATGGTAAACCTGAATGAAAAGCAAAGGAAACATAACAAAGGACACAGAGCAGCCTACAAGTCTGCACAGTGAATTTGATTTGGCAGTAATGAGCGCTGCAGACAATGACTGAGTCTGACTGTGTGTGAAGATGATGAAGGGTTGGGGTGGGGTGTGGGGGATCATACCTGAGTGCAGGATGTATCTGAGTACATATAAGTATTTTGTACTTTAATAGTAATGAAATGTATCATATGCTAAAAAAAAAAAAAAAAAGCAGGGTTGAAATAGGGTTGAATTTCCATTCTTCCTCAAGATTTTGAGTACTGGCTGGGTACTGTCTTCAAGTTACGGTGGGAATTCTGACTCAGCCCACCTGTGGGTCCTCCTTTTCTGTACAGTTTGGCAGACTTCACTATAAGGCAGGAGCAGAGCTGAAGTTTCATGCTGCATTTTCAAAGACATCTTCTTACAGTTCAAGAATACCTTCTCATTGAAGAAAATCTCATCTGAAGAATACAATGCTAGCTCTGCCTGCAGAGATTAACACTGCCTGCCTTATGAAGAGTTGTAAAACTGTTCTTGTTTCCGGCATCAGGGTTTTTATTCTTGGGTAAATATGGCTGTACATATATTTTCTTGCCTGCAGTTACGAGTGCTGCCAGCCAAATATTAATACTTCTGGAGGGTTTGGTATTCGGCTGCTATTATTGGTTTGGAAAAAAGAAGCCTGACCCAACCCCACCCCACCCATTCCTTTTCACTTTGTTAATTATTTATACTGAAGTAAAAGAAGGCCCTAAATTTGCTTCAATTGCTAACGAATAGAATCTACAAGAGCACATAAACACCAGTTGGGCTTTTGGAAGTAACCTCAGAACATCAGGGACTTGGGGTGCTCACCCTCTCTAGGTTCCTTTGAAAATTCAAGCAATTACTTCCATCCAAAAGGTGAGGAGACTTGTGTTGCTAAATTATTTTCAAAGGCCTCAGGAACACAACAGTGAAAAGGTGTATTTGGTGCAATTTTCAAAAACATCTGAGTGAGTTCTAATTTAGTCACGTGCTTTGGAAAACCAGGTTGAGAGCCTGGTTTTCCAAATATATCTCTAGGTGCCCAAATGACTTATATATGGCACTTAGAAAAATCTCCCGTCGTGTTCTAACAGGTTTTTAATACCATCTTACTTCTATTGTTTTAGTGTTTCTACTGGTGAGACACAAGTCAATGGGTGAAGTAGCCCTGTAAGTTTCAAGAGCTCTTTCAGAATCAAATTCTGTGTAAGTTGCAGCTTTTCCATTGAATTCAGATTTCACACCTGTAATCACCTGCAGATGCGAATGGTAATATCATTAACATCTGGACAATCATTTTAGGCATAAAGTCCACTTGGCAAAATGGGAGAAGGTTTCCAAAGTTCCCTCAAATATGTTTAGGCACCAAGCTCCGACTAAAATCTGTAGGAATCTACGAGCAACTCCAGAAGGACACTTACACCTATCTGGTACAGATTTCTTTGGGACTTAAGACATAAACAACACTGTGTGGCCATCACTAAATCAGAAGATTGAACCTTCATCCAAATCAGATCCAGCACCTATTGTGGATTTAAAATCACTGGAGTCAAATTCTGTGCTCATGTAAACTGGTCTAACTCCACTGACTACTGCTGTCCACTTACAGTAGCACAGAATTTGATCTCAGAAACACAATTCCTTTTCAAAAGTGGAGATACTTCAGAGACAAATTCACATCACAGAGAAGGAAATGCTTATATTTAAGTCAACACAGCTCCTCTTTGCTGTGTGTGTATTTCAGTTTATCATTCATGACCTTTTTTGACTTTTAATGTGAGTTGGCAGAAGGACTAACCACTCTCCCTGCGTTTTGCTTTTGTTTCTTTTGTTTTCGAAGTTCCCCTTCATTTTTTTCTTCAAATCTGTTTGCATAAGTAATTTATTTGCATGACATGACTATACAGAACAGCTGCACTGGGAGACTGGCCCAAGGAGAGAGTGTTAGGGATTGCATCAATGTGTTGATGAACCAGTAAAGTTGCTTTTTCCGGTTTGTCAAGATTCTACAGTAACAGAGTAATTTTTCACCTGCACAGGATAGAAAATAGCCTGAAGCATGGGCAGGACATCACTGAAGAAAAAATCCCAGGTTTCGGCTAAGGTATCCAGTAGTTTCTGCCCTGCAAAACCACAAAACAAAATAGTGAACCATTTATGTTGTAATCAGCTAACTGCAAAGACTAAAACATGCAGGAAACAATGTGAATCTGCTATTATACACAAAGACGAATCATGTACCAGCTACAATTGGCAGTACGGAATTAGTACTCCTTTTGGTGTATCAGATCATTCAATATTTGTGCCTTTTCAGGTGACACACCTAATGTTCTTAGTAAACTCAAAGACTTTGAGGTTAAATCTTACTCAGAAAAACCCTGTGAAGAACAAAGAGTAATAACCCAGGTTACCTCCTCCTCTTCTTGCAGTAATACGTACTGGACAAGACTGTGGACAAGAGCAGTAAGAGGAGGACACAGCAGGTTAAACACGGAGGCATTCCTACAGAGAAATCTCCCCCATCATGCTCCCCTTTGCCCTCCAAGCAGCAAAGCAGCAGAGCAAATCATGCTCTGCGGAGGCGCGCCACAAAGCGTCCCCTCAAATCGATCCCTTAGCTTCCCTGTATCTCCACTTACACAGAAAATCTCACCCAAGATCTGTGGGAAAATACAACAGTGTTGCAGCTATACTTTTTATGGCAACTTTCAAAGGATGCAGTCAACATCTGCTACAATGCGAGTCCCCCATGGTCCTCACAGCAAGATCACCTCCTTGTCCATTCCCTCCCAGCTGCAGCCACCTGAAAGCCTCCCCAGTGGAGACTGGAGAAGCTCTGGCCAGGTCGTACAACCAAGCTGGACACCGAGTTCCTCACAGAACATTTTGTAAAACACAGAGGCAAGTGCAGGAGCCAAGATCTACGAGAAAGGAAGTCTAGCTCAATAGCTAGATGCTGGCTTCAAATCCCCGTTCCCCAAAACAGCCTGTGTGACCTTGGGCAAGCTCTTTAGCACCCCTGGGACCCTAACCTAAGTGTGAAAGGAGGGCAATACTACTGAACCTCCACAAGCAAGTATCATGGAGATAAATACATCAATACTATGAGGCATTCAGACAGGACAACACGACTTATCAGGAAGCAAATTCAATGGCAATCAATCAATATTACTATCGGTGTCAGAATCTGATGCTATTCTTAATTCTTGTATTACAGCATTACTTAGGGCCTCAGCCAGTGAACACTTTGCCCAGAATTACACACGTATCAGGAAGAAACTGCATGAAAGCATCTACTCAAAGTTAGCCAAGTGCCAATCTTTGTTACGGGACACTTGATCTCCCTGCATTTTTAAGCACATGACAAATAGCACAAGCTCTGGCCCATCTGCAACTCATAAATTATTCCTGGGTTGACGACTTTAAGTGCTTTCAGTGACAAATGTGGATCACCATGCTATATTGCAGTTGCTGGCTTGTGAACCACGCAGAGGTCTTCATTTCTGCACCACCGGGCAGGAGTTCGCTCTGTCCTACATACTCATGCTGAAGAGGGTGTTCTTGGTTTCAATTTTTTAAAAATCTGTCTTGCCTTAGTTCTAGTGAAACACAGCAGGGAACCAGGTCCAAAATTTCCTAGCAGCTGTTGCTGCAATAACAATACCAAACACCATTGCATTATAACCTCCATATACTAATGTCTGATATATTAACGTGTTTCGAAGATATAAATCCAATCATGAAGAAGAAGCCCAACCACTCTATGCCTCGAAGGCAGAGTTTTAAAAAGAGTCAAATATGTAGTTGCCCACAAGTTGAGATTCAGTGGAAACTAAGCCCTTACAAATCCAGCTCCAGACTTGGGTGCTAAACATCAGTCCTTTTCAAATCTTGCTGCTAGAATTGCATGAAGTCAAATTACCTGGTTGGGACAAACATGCCTTCGCTGTCGTACACTCCTTTCATGTTGGGGGCAGCTTGTTTTGTGAAGTGATGGATTTCTGTAGAGCAGTTCAGTAAGGCTGCAGAATTAACTGCCTTTGCCAGGCAGGCCTTTTACTGGGGGCTGCGGAAGAATTCCTATGGTTCACTGATAATGAGCATCTTTCGCACAGAGGAACGTGACTTCCATGTCCTTTCAAGAATATATTTGTTTTACCATCAGGCAGAGATCCCTACATTTACCATAAGCCATAACCTTTGCCAGATTCCAGGAAACTGGGTTACTCTAAATGCTCATTTTAATGAAGTACAGCATAGTCAATTTTGCATGACAAAAATGCATGTAGTACTTTTCACAGTGCTTCTAAAAGTTAATTGAAACTCTTAAAAGAAATAGAAGAATAAAAAAATCATAATTTCAAAACAAAAACCCTTCAAAGCATGTTCTGAAGTGATCTTTTTTCTCTTTTGAAAACTTCAATGCCAACTAGATAGGGAAACTCAAACCATGGGATGCAGGACAATCTGAAACTTGGGGGCAGGACCACTGCTGCTGCAGACTCAGGAAGGGAGCCCTGCTCAGAACGGGAGCTCCCAAGATTTCCTTGCTCTCAACTTTGTCTTGGGTATTTTGGTGTCACTGATAATGGGATGGATTCTGGGGCACTGCTGCCAGGAAACCCGAATTCCAGCCTTGGAAACTCACATCCATCAGCAGCTCCCCAGGCAAGCTAACAGAATGCTGTCTGTCAGAAAGAACCTCTACCTCTGCACAAGATTCCCAAACTACAGCTACCCTCCTGTAACTTGCCAGTTTTAATGAGCTGACATTCCCAAGGACGGACTTGCAAAAAACGTGACTGATTTAATCCCCACCTTACCAGCATTTCTGACCATATTTTAAGGGCCAACCACAAAATGGTAACACCAACTTCAAAACCAAAATAAACTTAACAGCTTGTTGAAATACTGTATTTGCTAAACATGCTCCTACATTTCAAAGCCAATTTAGTAGTCTGACATTACAATTTTTCATCTCAGCTTTGATCTCAAACACCAGAGATAGTGTTTTTGATTTTCAAGCTAGTAAAACCAGAAGGAAAAAAAAAAAAGGTTGGACTTTGGTAGGTCTCTGCATCTAATTTGCTGATCTGACGCTTAAAAACCAACTTCCTTTGTGATTAAGAAAGCAGCTATGAAGGCCTCGAGATCCTTACAGCTCCCCTTGTGCTCTCCAAGCTATTATTTTATATAATCGCGGAATTCTGTGTTCAGCTTAAAGAGTTTGGGTACTTTTGGGGGGGGATTTTTTTAATGTGAAATGTGTTCTCTTTTTGTGGTGTTCAGGGCTACTGTCTTTTCATCAGAAAAGCTGGGTCCCATAGCACCATCTTAATCTGATGAACTGTACTGTCAATAGTGAAAGGTCACATTTAGGATATACAGATAGCTGAAACTAATGGAAATGGTTGTCTCCAGTCTACTGCTTAAACAGTGTATTTAGAATAAGTCATACTATGGCTTCAGCTTTGGAAAAAGAAAGATGCATTTCTTTATAACTGTCTCAAAACTCCCCAAATATCTTGAGACTGTTTACCTGGGCAATAATTCCTGAAGATATTCTGAAACCATTTCACCCTCTGATGACATATAGAATCATAAAATCATTTAGGTTGGAACAGACCTTTTAAGATCATCGAGTTCAACCGTTAACCTACACCGCCAACTCCACCACTAAACCATGTCCTTAAGCACCACATCTATGTCTTTTAAATGCCTCCAGGGACGGTGACTCAACCACTTCCCTGGGCAATTTGTTCCAATGCTTGACAACCCTTTCAGTGAAGAAATTTTTCCTAATATACAATCTAAACCTCCTCTGGTGCAACTTGTATGCTTACATCTAGGACAAAATGGCCTATTTAACAGCACATCTAAATGCTGCAGAATAGCATAGGACATGAAATGAGGGTGACTGTAAAACAACACATGGGGTGGAGGTTATCCTTGATGTTTACTTCCATAAAATGACACCTCCAGAAGGTGCAGACAGACAAATGGAGCCTTGACTGTAAAAAAAGAGACAGTGTCTGACCTCGTTTATGTAAGCGTGAATCCAGAATAACTCTTAAAACACCCTACAGCATTATTTTTGACTTAGCCAGACACTTCCAACTAAGTGGGATCTTAGTGCTTAGTTTTTTGTTTATTAAGATATCTCATTCTATTCTTCCACTGTTCCTTAACACTGAGCAGCCTCTAACTGAAGGAGAAGGAAGTGTCCATGCTGGAGGCAGTCTTTCCTTTACTCCCTCGCACCTACTCTAGGCAACCACTCTCCTTGATGAAAGCCAATGGGAACATGAAGGCAAGACACAACAACAGACTGCAGGAACAAACTGATACAACCTAATCTATAGTCTCGGGAAGACAGTGGAAAGCATCACACTGCCTCCAAAATGCATTTGCTAAAACTCCTGTGACAGACATAGATAGCCACACTAAAATCCAAGTTACCTTCATAAAACCGGATCTTGTCCCTTAGGATCACCATGCCTTTTGTGAGCAGCTGATTCTGTAAATAAAATATAGACTACCTTTACTCAATTTTGTACTTCCCTACAGCAATCGTATTTCACATTTTGTTCATTCTTAACTTTTGACAATAAAGGTGGTCTTTTCTTTTAATGATCAATCATCAAAGGACTCCTTTTGTGTCCATCTTGCTTAAATCGCTTGGGACACTTGTCAAATGACAATATAATCACCTACCACTTTCAGGACACAGCATGTATTCTGTGTGGTACGAAGTGCTTCTCAAACTTCAAATGGCTGACCAAAGCAGCACGTACCCTGTCTTAGAGAAGCAGAAAGAATACTGCTTCAATAGACAGCGTGTACTTACTACTAAACGCCTTTCTTATTAACTATACTACAGTGAACTTAACTGGTTTACTCAGGAACTTAAATTTCAGGTTAAAAGGGAATGTCTGAAGTCTACTGAAAGACAGCAATGCCATACAGAAACAGTGACTGCACTAATCTATTCCACAGCTTGGGCTTTCACTATCTAACTATATATAGTTATAGAAATCCACATCTCATTAGTCCATAAATGACAGGACACAGAGAAGCCAGTGAAAATCTCTGAATGGTTTCAATGGTCTCCAGAACAGCGTTCAGAGTGGGTGAAATGATTTTGCTCAGTAAATGAAATCTGATTTAAATAAAAGAAAACACATGCCTACCTGTAGATATTCAGTGAAAAAGGATCCCAGTTCTGTTTTCAATAATTGCCTGTATTAAAAAGAATAAGAAAAGGATCTGTGTAATCAGCAAATCATATTAGCTGTGCACTGCATGGAAGAGGGCAAGACACTAACAGCAAAATATTTCCCTATGAGCACAGAGCCTGTCAATAATGCCTAACTACAAATAAGAGCAAACAGGGTCAACAATACCAAGACTCCCAACCAGCACTCCTGTGTGTTGAAAAATATCTGCTGTGCTTTTAGATGGCTCGGTTGCACAAACACATACGAATGGAAATTTAGATTTGATGAAAAGAGGATGCTTTCCATTCTACATCTAATCCTTTTAAATATGCTCAAATTGTTCTCCTGATGAGACAGGGCTTCACTGATGCCTGCCGTTGCAGGTGTGGGAGAACTCCTGGTGCTCTCTGCCCATCCGTGGGTCTGAGCCAAAAACCGAGCATGTGACTTGGCTGATGTGTTCATAGCCAAATCATCCCTGTCCTGCGTAAGTTTGGAAAAAAAAAAAGAGCCATGACAAAATGTTTATACATTCTGAAGAAGGATGATACTCTGTGGGTTTTGTTGCATGTCTGAATTATGGCCAGTTTTCACTGAAAGGGTCATGATCTTCCACTCAGCAGAGTCATGACAGCTGAAGTTTCATACAGTTTCAGTGAAAAAGCAGGTAGGAATGCAACAGTTCAGCTCTACCTTCCACGGTTTCTCTCCGCTAAAACCTACCAAGCAATCACAGAGAGCAAACCAAACCCCCAGGCAAAAAAATCCCACAAACAACCCTCAAATTCGGAAACTGAACTCAACCCAATCCACAAGCCCAACATTTGTATCCAGGTAAAACTCACTACATTGCTAAAAAGCTGTATGCCATTTAAGTCTGACATGCTGGATGCCAGATATACTTCTCTGCAGTCAGGTTGCTGTTTAGATGCATAAATGAGAGCTCGGACTTTATAAAACTGTAGCCCCATCTGGGCTTTCTGAACATCTGCAAATCTGACATGGAGCTCTTTTGAAAACCTGTCTTGGTGTGACCACCTCAGGTCCCAGGAAGAAATAAGGTCAAATTTGACTTAAAATCTAAACACCCACTTCAATTAGGGTAGTTATGTAAATTATATATTCAGTAGCATGGTATCTTCTATCCCTCTGGGTTACGTCTTTAACTAGCAAATAACTAATAAATCAATTTATTTAACTAGTAAACAAATACACGCCTAATTTAAAGAGTCCAGCATATCCCTACGCTCCATGAAAAAGTCTGCAGGAGTTGTATCTGATGTTTTTAACACCACATGCTTCAGCACAGCCTCTTGAGATCTCCTGAAAGTTCAGGGAAAGAAGGAGCAGGTCAACCTTCAGGAGGCCAAAATACAGTATCTTATTTATTGATCCTTAAGCACATGTCCACACTGACCTCACAGCACCCTGTGGAAACACTCTAGCCATAAATGAAATAGAAAACAAACAAAAGGAAGGGAGTTTTCAGATGCTCCTAAGCATCAAAATCCTTTTCTGCTGGAAACCTGATTAATTCAGAAAAACTATCTATGGACAAAAATTTTCAAAGTCAGCTCAGGCTTTAGCCATACATCTGTCATTGCCATGAATGGCCACTGCATGGCTAGCCCTCTTGGCACGCTGCTGCAACATATGAGAGAGGACAACCCTTGCAGTACCCTGAAACTTCACCTTCAATGGTACCCATTGACAAGTCCCTGGCAGGGGTTAAAACCCACCTCCCCGAAAGACTGTTAAAGTCTCAAAGCCTTAAGAGTACATCAATGTGAACAGGGATGCTATAGCCAAATTGTGGTATGCTTACTCAAAATGGAAATCTACCATCCAAGCGGTGTGATTTTTTTCTGGATCACAAGTGGTGGCACTAAAGGTTTTTCTTACTTTGGACATGGATAGATAAAAAATTTTTAGGTTAAAATAACAAGAAAGTTGCAGTTTTGAATTCTCTTATGATAGAGACATTTTATTCCCAGATACTTCTTTGTGTCATTGTTTCAAAAACATACTGATATTTTATGCTGACAGGTTTTGCTTAATTTTCCACCCTCTCGTCAAGCTCGCAGCTCTTCGAAGTCTAGTCCTGGATTCCTCATAGTCTTGAACAGGTGATTTGCAAATACCTTATCTTTTCATATTTTAGGTTCTACTGGTAATTCCTGGCATTTAGGGCAGGAAATACAAAATTATGTTCTACTTATCCAATAACTAGCTCTACGATAAATCAAAATCTCACCATGTTTCCATTTTTTCAGTTGTGAATGAACTAAACAACCAGCTTGGAGTTAATTATATGCACTGGCCTGCATCACACCAAGCAGCACCATGGCTACATTAGCATCTCTCTTTACAGGGTAGAAGAAGAACTGACAGCACCATTAATGTGCCTTGCTTTTTGAATCCCTAATAATACAGATACTTCACACTACTTAATTAATTTCTAGTGAAATAGTGAGGCCCTCAGGCCACATCAGAACACTGGTGTTTGATGTTCTCTATAACCATATCCGTTTAACAGAGATCCACAACAAAACTGGATCCAAGACACTGCTTGCGATTTTTCTTCATCCTTGCTTCATTTCATTTTACAAAAATTAGTTAGGTTGTCACCTGTCAGATCCTAGATAATTCAGATTACTGAATAACCTTATCTAGATATGTGGACATCATGGTGGAATCCAGGTAAAAATCTGGTTAAACATAAAGAGACCCCTGATCAGGTAGCAGACGTCGTTTCAAGCGCATCTGGTTTTGAAGCCAGTTATTTTGCACTCTTATGAAGCTTGTATATCACTGGTATCAGGGCTGCATTGACTGTTTAATGTACTTCATGAATTAAGATGATAATATAAATGCACATAAAATATGTTAAAATAGCTCCTGACTTTTTTGTATCTTCCTGCTGCTGCTTCTTTGATTCATTTTGAAATTAACTCTTGGAACATTACTCAGAATGGAAAGTCTAATACTGTATAGTATCTGTTAAATAAAGTTAAATGAAGCAAATTGGAACAAGTGATTTTACTGGGTTTGAACTCTTGCTGTGAAAGAGGAAATGCCACTAAAATATGCTTTGTTTGCATCAAGTCAGTATCTTGAAACCCAGAAAAGAGGCAGCTATAAATATGTATTAGCTTTAATACAGGACATCCTGCTTCCACCGTGTTTCCCTTTCCTTCTTTTTCTTCCTTGATTTACAAGTGGTGTAAATAAACACTTTGAAATGACATATGGTACATGAAATGAAAAAATGAAAAAACATGGTATGATTACTAACATCACACGCATGCACCAAGAGAAATACTAAACAGCAAGTATACGCATATAGATTTTTTATTACCTGACTTTTGAATCAATCCCCTATTAAATCACCTAGTAAGGGCTCAGACGAAGTAATATACAGGCCATACACTCGTGACACTCCCACTTACTGGAGTACCTTCTCACCACCTTACTGTACTTCATTACCTTTAGCAGAGCTATTCAGCAGTTACAGCAATATGAAAGAGACTGAAATCACGCACTGGTTTAATTGGTAGTAGGGCTTCTGAGCGCTAGGTAACTCCATATTTAAGGCCACTTTCTAATGTCAAAGGAATGCAAGAATGGCGTCAAAAGGCATTGGGGTAAATGAGCGGCAGCTTTTAGGAGCTGAACTGAGCAGAAAAGTAAATGGTACTGTTCAGTTTTGTACCCGTCAATGGTTTCTTAAATAACCAGCGCACACATAATCAGGGTTCAAAGCCTCGAGACGTGTGTTCAGAAAAGGAAGTTACACGTATTTGTTTGCACGTATATGGCATACAGTAGTTGAAGATACGTGACATTCCTGAGTCAAAACAATGGTGTGCAAATATTGTGGGCATAACCTAACTGTTCAAATATTTACACTTGGTCTGTGAGTCAACTTGGATATTCAAGGTTTAATTAAGAAAAGTATTCCAGAATCTGCTCTAATTAAAGTGGTAAAATAAAATAACTTCTTTTACTGTTCTGTAACTGTCGAAAAAACTTATTGATGGAAGTCATTTACCTGAAAGCTTCCACTCTCAAATTCTGTCCAGTGGAAATAATGGCTATTTTTTTCTTTTTATTTATGTACTTGTGGGTAAAAGGCATCTAAAACAACCGTAAGTCAAATGCACACTTGTTCCACTTCTGAGGTCATGTTAATTAATCAGACATTTTTGCATTCAATAATAACATTAACCCCAAAAAAGTTATTTTGAATTAAATAACAATAGTAGTAAACAAGGTATTTTTGGTATGTGTCAAATTTGTAATTTCTTAGTTAGGTTTTGAGCTGAATTTAAGTGAGGCAAAAGGGTTTCTGTTGCAAATAGTCTGGAGGCGCTAAAACAATACTGACTGTGGTTGGCAGTAAAATGAAGCACACAGCAGGAGCACAGTAGCTTCTGGAAAGAGGCTGTGGCTGGATGTGCTAAGAGGCATGTTTAAAAAATACCACTACCATGCTCTCCTCTAGAGACAGATCTTTCAGCTGTTGTGTCCTCTTCACCCACTTGCGGTTCTCCCATCTCAGCTTTTTTTCTATGAACGAAGCAAGTGGGACACACACAAGAAGCTTCACGAAAGCAAACTCAAGAGCTGTCACCGAGAGGATGGACAGCTTTTAGCACTAAATTGGAAGGCTGTTCAGGCCAAGTTGGAGGCAAGGGAGAACAACCTCAAAGCAGCAGTAGACAAGAACCAGTCTCGAAACCCACACTGCATCTCGCCAAACACTCACTCGTCCCAGAAGTGACACTGCTGCTGCCTCATTTACAACAGCAGCTTTCTAGTTTGGTCTAGATTTCACAATATTTTGTCCATCAGCTCAGGAATGAATCACCAGGCGTTGCTCTCCCCAAAGCAGAGCAAAACTGAGCAATCAGCCGAGATAACAACAAAGCAGCGTTATCTTTACCCTAACAAAAAGTAATGGGCCTATCATGCAGCACCATAGCCCATCATAAAATGGAAAAAACTCCTAGTCTATTTGTACTCAGCTTGCCTGTTTGGCTGCCTGGCATGTTGCAATAAATTCCACACAACTATATGAGTAAGCACCATCATGGTGCAGGGTTTATATGCAGGTAAATGAAAGCCAAATCTAGGCACAATTCACCAAATAACATCTATCTTGTATTTGTTGGTTCATAGAAGATTATATCTGTCTCTGTCACAGCCGGTAATTTTTCCTCTTCCGTTCCTCACCAGCAGACAAGCATCCTGAGGCAAACGCATTGGGCCAGGAAATTGCAGCCCAGAACTACCATTTTTTTGTCATTCAGATAAAGCTGAAGAATCCTAACTGCACTTATAGTAATAACTATCAACCATTATTCCAGTAACTAACTCAAAAATGATTGATGGATCATGCTAACTGACAGCCATCCTAGAAAAGCTATTCTTTGTATGCCATTTTCTCCCCAGAGAAGTAAGAAATAACTGGAGAATAAGCTGCTTTTAATTTCAAAAAGACAGAGAGAAGGGGAAAAAAAGAGAGCTTGCAGGCCAAATGTCATTTGCCTGGACTTCTCCGAAGATATTCCCACAATTAAAGGAACCAGGCTGGGCCAGCTATCCTAGACTGGGAACCAGACAGGGACAGATAATCCAGGAATATCTGGATGTTCTGTGGATTTTGTCAGACTCTGGTACCCTGACAGAGTGGGAATAAGCAGTAAGGGAAAGGGAATCACTGAGGCTCTTATCTGAAGACAGCCAGGGAATGTAATAAGCTGTCTGTCTTTTCTAAATGCAGCTTCTTTTCCACCATTTAGTTTTCAAAGCATTGGGACAAATTTCTAAAAGGAAATCTGCTACCTTGCCCTTGTCAGCGATAGAGGGTTTAGTAAGTAATAATAAGTGCTAGAAAAAGTAGTAAAAAGTGAAGTACTGTAAATCCAGATATCAGCTTATCTCTTGGTAAACTTTTCTTTGCAGCTATAACTTAAATAACTCAAATGGTAGGATTTTCACCTTCTCTTTTTTTTTTTTTCAGAAAAGAAGTTCCCAATATACGTCTCAGTGGTCTATAGTTAGTCTGTGGTGAACAGCACCATCACAGTATGAGAAAGAAACAGGAACCTTAAACTGGGTTACTCAGATCATTGTGCTGACAAGACAGCTTTATAACATCTACAGCACGTGCGGAAGGAGCACCTAGACTTAAGGGACCACCAGGCAGGATACCTTTCCTTTCCATGTCGTGCTGAGCGCTTGGAGGCTTTACATCCTCCACAGATGAAAGGGAAACATCTCAGAGCTAGGCCTGGCACCTATAGAAAAAGCACCATCGTTGCAGTGGAATAGGGCTGCATTAGTAGAGGGGTCCAGGTTTTCCATTCCTTAGTTTCAATCCAGTACATCAAGACAGACTCTAAAATAATCCATCTGCCTCACAACTAAATACCTCCTCTGCCAAAGGAGGAACTCCGCTCTCGCTACACAGCGAGGTGTTGACACACGTCAGCAACAGCCATTCACTAAGGCCCAACTGACTACTCGTTGAAACCTCCCCTGGGAAAAAAACCCATCACACTGCTGTAGAAGCTTTCAAATGCGAGCGCTAGCAAACAGTACCGTGCACACTGGTTAGTCACACCTTGCGTAGAGTCGAGTCTCTTACCTGACTCCTTCGTTGAGGTTGTAAAGTTCATGGTCTGGGAGACCCTTACGCTGGAACACTGCTATTACTCCATTGTGGATACTGAAAGAGGACATTAGGAGTCATTAGCACCCGATCACATTTAGGAAGGCTATCGCTTCCATAATAAGCCTAACAATTCTGCCTAGGCACTGCAGGACCTTTTTAGAAGACACAGATGACCTCTGGTACCCCATCCCAGATGCCTTAAAGGGAATCATTGCCTAGAAAATAGACGACATCTTTGAAAATCAGTTCTTTTTGGTCTGTTCCAATGTTAACAGTTGCACATCCGAAAGCCATCATTTCTGAAACTTAGGCTTATGTATTTCAGGTACTTTAAACACAACTTTTCATATATTCAGTATATTTCAAGTATTTTAAAGTACATTTCTGTATTTATTGCTCACCACAGAGACAATTAACAGCTTCACTATGAGATGAGTGATGATATTCCTGGCATTGTTGGCATATATTTGTCTGAGCTACAGTTACTTGATTTCTTTATCAACAAATCAGCATTTATCCAGGCTGGACACTATACCTGAAGTTTAACCCACAAATATAGCATCTCTGTATTAGAAGATCTAATCTCAAGAATGGTTAGGTCTTTAAAAAACAAATAGAAGAAACACTGGACAATTATGAATTTTAGGTCAATTTAACCAAACTCTCACTCATTTTCAAAAATCAAACAATAGAAAAGGAGCAACTGGTTACAAAGACTGTTTCCTATTGCCACTTACTCATTTCTCAATGATTTACGCTCTTGCTTCAGCTAAAGGAAAACCAACGCTGAGCTGAAAGAACAACAGGTCTGGAGTTTCTAAGGCAGTCAGCAAGACAGGCAGCGATGTGCTCGGCGTAGGCCAACCATCTGTCCTACAAAAATGCTCCCTTTTCATTTTCAATGCCATTTGTAACTGTTCTGCAAGCATATGCTGCTTAGAGGTATTGACTTTCTGTTGCAATCAAATGCAACCAAAGACAGGATTGAGACCACAAAATTCTCTAGCTCAACAGAAAGTCTCGTACCCAATGCTGTCTGTCGCTGGGGCGTATGGCCACCAGCCCCACAAGTTCTAGGCTGCTGAATGGCAAAAACCGCAGGTATCTGGCAATCCATGTGCTTAGCAGGGATGCTTACCAGTCCCTTAAGCTTAACAAGACTGCACCTCAAAGAGTTACTGAAATGAGTATGTGCTTCAAGATGAAGCTCTGAAATGCTCCTGAAATACACCTGACATAATTACTGTGATGACACATCAGTCTAAATCCCTGATCTTAGGTCTGAGGACAAAGGTAAAGAAATGCCAGGTAAGACCAAACCTGTTCCAGCATTAGTAGAAGGAAGAAGTCGTCGTCTCCTTCCCCAATCCAGTGCCACCTTTTATAGCCTCACAGCTTTGACTCTAAAAGGAAAGAAGGCTCACATGGTCCCTCCGTCTGTCGGCTCATCGGCACTCCTCCGCTCTTGGAACTGCTTGGCAACTTCTACCACATTGAACTATGGAGTGCAAGTTCCCAAAACATTAAGGTCTTTTAGTTTTCAGTCAGGGTAGGAGCATCTTTTAGTGACCAAGAACATACTGCAGGGTGAGCTCAGCCTTTATTCGATATGCACACAGATGCTTTAGCTTCCCGATGCTAACACAAAAGAAAGCAGCCTTTATATGCTCCACTGCTGATACTACTGCTACTCGATTTCCAGTATCACTGCTTTTACTTAAATGACCATTCCCACTTCTGGCAGTGACTCCAAGTTATTTCATTGCTGTCTGACTCTGTTCCCCCATGAGTAAAATAAAGGTAACAACACTGACCACTAAAGGGTATTTTAAGATCTATTTATGAAAATCGTAACAAAAGCAGTGAGTGTGATTATCACTAGCAGTATTATATGCCATAATTGTCACTGGTTTTTTTCCCTCTTCCCTCATAACCCTACTAACCACAAAGGGAAAATACAGATTTTGGCATGTGGCTCTTCCTATTCAAGGTGGCACCTGAGAAGGGGAGATGACATCTTAAGGCATACTACAAAAAACACAAGGCAAAAGTCTTCCTGCTCTGCACCACCTCCCTGTGTGTCTCTCATTCTGCACACCACCTCCCCGCCTTTACTCAGCAAGAGCAAGGAACAGCAACAACCAGCCTCAGGGATGCTCAGGGGATGTATTTCGGAGCCACCAGACTGAATCTCACTCCTAGAACATCTGCTGAAAAGTTCTGCCAGGAATGAGAAGCTACGGCATGCACACCCCTCCTGGGGATTTGGTTTTACCAGTGACCCTGCAATATCATTTTTCAGAGATTTGCAGCTGACTTACCCCTGCTTACCCTGCACTGGAGCCTGGTGCAAGGGAGCAGCAACCAGCTTTGAAGCTCTGGAAAGTAAAAGCAGGACCAGATTTGCCCATCCTGGAGGCACCAGGATTTAGGGTTACCCTGTCTTGTGAATAAGAGCTAAAGGCAGCATCTGTTTGTAAGGCCTCCAGAGGGAAAAAGCCTGATTCCTATCGGTGGCCAAGCTTGGTCAGCTCTGGCCTGGTCTGGGCTCCAGGGCCAGATCCAGCCACGTGCGGCTGCTCTCACTGCAAGGGGATGTCTCTGCAGGCACCATGCCAGGTGGCAGTGGAGTGTGCCTGGCGACCTCACTACATTAAACCTTCCCAGGTCCATGGCAAGACAACTCCTTTCAATGCTTGCTGGGAGCAGAGGACTCGTCTGCAAGGTAAACCTGACGCTGTTCACTGAGATTTGAAATGCAGGCACACAACAGCGCTGAACAGCAAAGAGATGCACTGTTAGAAAAGCTCAGCCACGTTCACCTGTGGAAAAGGAAATTAAAAGTGGCAGGCGAAGGATATGACCCGCTGTGGAGAAATGCACAAGCAGATAAAAACAGGAAACATTATCCTCTCTTCTCTCTTTTGCTTCTTTGATAACACTTCCAAGGCGTTAAGTACTCCCCCTGCCATGGTGGTCCCTCTTTCCCCCCCTACACCCACATGCACAGACATACACTCATGATCTAACCCAGCTTATTTTGGCTGGCTCAAACAGACACACTCAATTTACGATTATCTGAAAATTGGCAGCTAAATATCTCTGGTATACAGTGAAGCGACTTGGGTATTTTAATATTATGAGTAATATGTGAAGTACGATTAATGTAGTGAATAAAACAAGCAGTCTTTACACGCTCTTCTGATTCGGAAATGAACTTTGCAATGTTCCCTGCCAGCCTTCTGCAGAGAAGAATGACTAAATATCTATCCTAAAAGCCAATGTGCTCTCTCTCCTTGTCTCTGGCACTCCTTTCTAAATGAGGGGGAGGTTTTCTCTTTCCAGCTTAACAGGTCCATTATTATTCCTCAAAGAAATAAGAAAGAGCAAGCTTTTTTAACAAGAACTAAGGGGCACATGTAGCAAGCATTTCAGTTATTGCCTGTGTAGTAGGACCGCACCTACATAAAACATCCTGGAGGTGATCTTTTAATCTGCCTGAGATCTCCCTTGTAGCAAGGGACAACTGCCTTGTCTGAAAAACAAGTCTTGGCCCAGCTACATTGACCACCTGCCTTTCCTCCCCGTTGCAGACAGCAGCGCTTGCATGCAGGCTGCAGGCATGCAGTCCCAGGCTGCAGGTGACATGGGAATGCCACTGTGATCTGGCCGTCCACGCTTGCTCAAGAGGCAACAAAGAGGAGTCTGAATAATTGGGATGCTATCGGTGGCATAAGCTGGTGTCAGGATAATAAAAAGCTATCTTAAATCTTTTCTTAGTTACCTTAAGCTAATGAAAAAACCAAACCTAACCCTTGTTTAAATCAAAGTAATGCTATGGTTTGTATAATGAGTGATTGTTTAAAAAAGGGTTTAGTCAGAATGCTATAACCTTTTGGTGCAAAGAAAATCTGAGCTGCTGCTTACACACAGAAGTCCTGCAAGATGCTTGAGGTGGGTGGATCACCTTTACTTGTGCCTATGACCAGCCTCCACTGAGGCTTAAGTCAATAATGTATGTAATTAAACTTATATTTTAATAGTTAACCTGAACTGAAAATGCCTTGCAAACTCCCTTCTGTAATGCTTTTACAACATGAAAGTTAATAATGGGCGCACTCATGCACTGATATTATTCTGAACACCTTCCTTGTAGTTGCTGTGTGTTTGAAAATGTGTGCACAAGAACACAGCACTGCAGAGGAGGCAAAAAAGAGCCTAAAAAAGAGTCAGGTCCTGAACTGCTCATGCTCAGTATTGAATAAGGTTCCAGTGTCCAGTGAAGACCAGACCTTACGCTGTATGTCCAGGTTTATAAATACTGCTGGTTGGCTGTATTGTACCAATAGACACATTTTCCACAGAAGCGCAGATGTAACCTCCTACTCCTGCAGTGCTGCACTTTCTCCTGCTTAAGAAAATGAGCAATTTCTAATGCTCCCCCACGAATATTTTCTCCTGAAACAAGAAGGACCTGGAAGCTCTGCGCACCTGAGCAGTGCACCTTTGAAACAAGCTACAGCCACCCTCACACTGCAAGAAAAGGCAAAGGTCTGAGTTACAGGATTATGGCATTTCTTGAAAGCACAACACCAATTCATTAGCTAGCTCCTCAACTGGTATGAATTGGGGTAAACTGCTGTGGCTGTATTGTTTAACCTGCGTCCAAGCACTAAGATACACTGTACAGGCACCTTTCATAAAAACATATGCCATGGGTCACTCTTGGTCTGAAGACTATAGCTAGAAGGCATTTTGAGAGACCAGCAGTGGGGCAGAAAGAAGCCTGGGAGAAGACTTCCCACAGGTCACTGGGTGGGCAGGGAAAAGAGAAGCATGGCTAGAGCAGGCTGGCTGTAGGAGGGCATATCAGGATCAGAAAACTCCAGAGACTAGTTTTGGGGCGGAGATTTGGCTTTAGAATGAAGACAAGTCAGATGGCTCCAGCAATGTATTGTGCTTATCTATGTGGCCACATATTGCCAAAATAAACTACTTACAACCAAGAAGGCACTCACAGCAACAAAAACCAACTCAGCAGCCTAAGAAAGTTC